GCTGGGGTAGGGAGGCCTGGTGGGAATATCCGTGGCAGGGCAGCCCCTATGAAATACCAGAACCGTTCACCTCCTAGTGAAAGGCAGGTAGGGGCATCTCAATAATTCCAGACCGCACAACACTGTGGGTTGGAGGGCCAGGCCTGGCTGCAGCCAACCTGAGCCCCAGGGGGTATAAGACCCTAGTGGAGGAGTGGGGGCCGGGCACAGCTACGGCCACCTGAGCCCCACTGGGGTGTAAGACCCTGGAGATCCCAGGGTGAGGGGACAGTTGTGTAGCTTAGAGAGAGGGCATGAGAACAGAGGCAGCCCACGCAGAGTAGGGTGCATCTTTATGGCCTGAAGGACTGTGCATTAATAGGTCCTGAGTAGGGCTGAAGGACGGCCAGAAGAGCAGCACAAGTTTTTGTTTGTGCATGTAGAATGGCTTGGTGAGGTGCCAGGGCAAGCTTAGCCCAATGCCCGGCTAATTTGCTGACCACTACCCAGATGAGGACCATGGGAGAGGTCCAACAGGCTGCGTGTCACCAGTCAAGGAGTGAGTCTGGTAAGTCGCATGGCCTATGGGAGCTGCTCCAAAAGGGAGCAGGGCAGAGTGAAGGGGGCACAGCATCATGCAATGAGTAAGAGGCCCTGTGAGAGAGGGCAGAATGCAAGGGGCCCCAGTGAGAGGGGGTAGTATGAATGTGTGTATGCAAGAGACCTGACTGATGACTAAGTTTGGTCTGGCTTTAGGCCAGAAGTACAATAACATTCTGGATGCCATCTGTGAGGCAAGGGCTAGTGTAGGGATCATACAAAGCTGTAGATAGTGCCCCCTGGCATTGGGGCATATAATGGGCAGCCTCCCACATTTACCACCAATTTATTATACTAGCAAAATTGTGGCAGGCAAGGGTGGGTGGACTGCCCTATGCAGACAGGTGAGTGGGCTGGCTTGACGCCCAGTCCTGAGCTTGCTCCCTGTCATAGTGAGTGAGTGTGAATTTCTATCAACTGATACAGTCTTGTATTTTCAGAAGCATGTACTATATTATGCAGCCAGGCGGTAAATTGAATTTATCTTTCATTTTGGCAATTTTGCTTATGCGTTGCTGCTATTGTTCCTAGCAGAGACTACACTAACAGTCCAAAGCTATGTCCAGCTTTCCAACAGTCTCTTAAAGAAAGGAACTTTAATACACAAAAATTCCTTCTGCCCACTGAGATGCACCTTGTAAATCATCACTAAAGTGTGCTATAAATACATTTGCAACAGATACAGATTTTTTTTCCTGCTACAAGTGCAGACTGAGTATTTTTATTCATTTCTTAATCAGTAGAAGGCTTAAGGTCTAATATATTGCATCTCGTTAGGGCTAGATTAGATGCACCTGATTTGTCTTATTTCTGAGATCAAATTCCATGTTTTGCAGTGACATTAGGGCCTAATATGATGGCCATTATGAAATAAAGGAGAATCTTTCCATCAGTTTCAGCTGACTTTAAATTTGTTTTTTAAACCATTTCTGCTTTGTGGCTTAAGAGGTGTTAGACCTAAAAATCAGTATTATAGATCACAGGGAAGCTATTTTGGACCCATTTTTTACTTTTCCACATCTTTGGAGTTATATCAAAGAATAATCTGTGTAATCCATTTACTAAAAGACCGAGTTCAGCAAAGGTCTTAAATGTATCAGCTGCTCATGGGTTTTAAATATGAGCATGTACTTAAGTCTTTTGCTGAATCAGGCTCGAAGAAGATGCTGTCCATTTTCTTCCAGTGATTAACAGTGCAGTGTGAATTTGTAAGTAACTAGAGAGAAATGTTTCACTTATAACAGCTGACCTTCACAACTGAATTACAGTTGATAAATTGTATCAATTGTATCACTCATTTGCATCACATATGGGAACATACGATGCAGATGAAAACTGTGGCTTTATGTTAGTATCCTGGAATATATCTTTGGATAGTGCAACTCGCCTGCACTCCAGAGACTTCAGTGGAGTTGTGCTGTTTTACACTTGCCGAGTTTCTAGTCTCAATCAAAAACAGCAAAGAAGCTGTCACTTCGAATTTTCTTGTTTTGATTAGTTAGTGTCACAGCCCAGTATTATGTATGTAAAGTGTTTTCTAGTGATAAAATAAATTTAGTTGAATGATTAAGCCATGCTTTCGATATCTATGTTTAAATATTGTGCTTTCTACTAATGCCAAGATATAAATTGGTCTAGTAAGGTCATAACCCCCTTCCCGCCCCCCTCCAACTCATGCACTCACTTGCACACACTCTCTGTCTCCCTCTCTTTCCTTTTTTAGGATCCAGGTCTGAGTTTCACATTAAATCAGGCTCAGAGTTTTCCCACACTTTATCCACCCTGCAGAACTTTTCTTATGAATTAGTTTACAGCTTTGAAGATGTTATAATTGAACAGAATAGCTGATTTCAGTTTGTACATCTACAGACAGCATGCACTTCATTACAGTTAATATTTAAGTTCTATGTAACATGGCTTAGAAAAGTTTGCATCACTTCTATTTTGTGTCAGAGTGGTAAGACAATGCCTGTCTGATACAAGCTTGAAGAGTTTAGGTAGGCAGAGGAAGAACTACAGTTTATTGACAAACAATAATATGACTTCCTCCTAGAGCCCTCTTTGAAGTGAAGTGATAATTAACTGGATGGCTGAAATAATTAAACACAAAACATGACAAGCTTCTAAAAAAAATAATAAAAAGCATGTATTTAGCAACTACTATGTAAGCTCCATTGTGCAGATATTGTTTTTGGCTTTGTGTTCAGGTGGTAATTAGCACAATAGGGTCCTGCTTCATGACAGGGGCTGCTGGGCACAGTGGCAACACAAATAATGAATCATAAGACTCATACCATGTGGTCAGTCCCACTATTGATCCTTTTTGTTGCATCTCATTTGTGTGCTTCTGCTTTAAATGTTTTCCATTTAAATTGGAAAGTCTTTGGATCAGGGAGAGCTTCTCCTCTTGTTTGTTATGCACCTGGCATAATAATTACTGTTGTTGTCATTGTTTTTCCCAATAAAGCCTTTGACTCAGATCCATAAACAGACTTGGGTACAGCAGTACTGCTGTAGCAATGCCTAACTCATAGGCATCTGCCTTAAGAGGTGAAATGCACAAATCTAAACAAGGTGCCTAAGGGTAGGGTTCTGTCCCATCAATTAAATGTCTAAGTGGATGTAGGCACCTACATGTGATTCTATTCCACCCTGTTCAAGTCCCTGAAAATCCATAAATGCAGCTACTTTTGTGACACAATCTCATCTTATCCTTAAATTTGAGTCTCAGAAAAGCAGTAAAGAGGATGATGACTTGCCCACCTCTCTTGCAGTAACTGATTTGAGCAGGGTGGAATAGAATCAAACTTAGATGCCTAGTGCACTGAGACCCCTAATAGGTAGAATAGGCTGTTATTTGAAGTCCCTCTTGCAGTGCATGGGAAGTGATATGTGGCCTGGATTGGGATGCATGACAACCAGCTTGTTGAACAAAGGATGATAGCAAACAGGAAACACCAAAGAGAGGGAGTGGCCTGAAGCACAGTCTCTTTTGGACTACCTCTTGATGTGAGTTAAATACTTTTTTCTGAGACTTGGATTCACAGCCTAGATCCCTCTGAGACTGAGGTAACTCAGTTAGCCACATCTTATGACATGGGAAAGTTAAATCCGCAATTTATAAAATAGCTTAACAGTTAGATCATTTGCTAATGAAGTGGGAAACCTGGGTTCGATACCCAGTTCAGCTTGTTGTAGTTCAAGCCTACATTTCTCAACTCTGAACAGAATCCCTAAACTACTAGCCTACCTGCAAGAGTGGGATAGAGGACTTTTGTTGAATATTCCCCTTCCCTTCTGTTGAATATTTGCTACCATGGAGATAGAAATACAAGATTTTTGGAGCAAGGGGGAAGAGTAAGTGAGAAGCACCATGACTGTAGCTCAGTGATGAGGTCACTGTACTGGGAAACCTGGGTTCCAGGATCACTTATGCATTTTACATTAAGGTCATTGGTAAAAATTTATGAATAGTTCTGGGAACAAGGGTGAAACCCAGGTCCAACTCCACCTCTCATCCACAGAAGTGCCCTCTGATATGAAACAAGGACCCTGGTGGAATTTTGTCTGGGAGAAATCTCTCTGAAGTTTTATGTTTTTCTAGAACTACTTTTGAGCTAGTACAGGTACATTCAGTCCCTTATGCAGGACTGAGACGATATCTTTAATTTAGCTTTGTGTAAGGCCAAGAATAGTGTCTGTCACCTTTCAAGGGACACAATGTTTTTCATGTTTCCCTGAATACTTTAAGATAGAAAGCTCCAGGCAAAGAATGTGTCCAGCCAAGGAAGGGCTTTGTTTCGAAGGAAGCGGAAATAAATGAACAAAACAGCTGAGTTCACTTAGCTGGTGTGTTTGGAGATACCTTCTGGGCCCTCTTGGTTGAAACAAAGCTGTAGAACACAGCTTTATCTCTAAGAAACTTCCTTCCACTTCCCTGTGCATCGTATTTGAATAACATAGGTCCCAGTATTATATAATAACAAAATCTGTGCAAAAGGGTCAGAATTTGAGCTTTCCCAGAACATAGAGAGGAGAGCTGGTTTGGGTCTTGGATTCCTATTGGAGCTGGGAGTGCTGCTGGTCACTCCAGGGAGCAGCTGAGTACCTTGACAACCTTTTAAGGCCCAGATCCATCACGGAATCATGCCTCTAGTTATGACATTATAGAAACAGTCAGAGGTTGGACCCCAGGGGAAACAAAGAGGGGAAAGAGGAGATGAGGTTTTATTTTCAAATACCAGAAGACAAATCCATTGAGGGTGGATCTGTTATCCTTGACCTTCAAAAAGGGGATAAAAATAGTGAAGACTACAAAATAAAATATGCATTATAATATTGGTCGTGGTGTCCTTTCTGGTGAAATATGAGATTCAGAAAACCAGTTTGTTTGATAATTATTTTAATGTCTATTCTTACAGAGAGCATCCCAACAAATTATAGTGCCTGAAAAGACGGAATACAATCAAGGTTAGTAGCATGTTAAAGTAAAATGGCTTGTCGCTCAGGAAAGTTTAGAAACTGGTTTCTGACCACAGATATAATACTGCAGATGTTTAGAAAAAGATTTTGCTGAGATAGGAAAGAGAGGAAGCTGTGTTGAGCATAAATGCATGGTAAAACGATACCCGTTTAGTTATTAAAGCACTTTTCTAAACATTTATTTTACTGATAAATGTTGCCTCTTAGATTCTGACAAGGAAAAATGTGGATGCTTTTTTAGGACTTTTCAAAGTGTGATTTCAATTCTTTTGAAATAGTGAATGCTAAGGCCTGTTCCAACATATCTGGGCATGCATAATATGTAGAAATTGCATGAGAAGATGCAGTTAATTTAGAAGAAAACTGAGGAAAGTAGAAAGAATATTGAAAACATTATGAAGGGCCAAAATGGACTAATAGAAAATGTTAGAATCTGGAAAATGTGAAGTATAGCTTTTAGGGAAAAGTGTACATTTTCAAGGAGTAAGTTAACCCCCCCCCCCCCCCCCC